ATCATACCCAATTACAGGCCATGCTTTTTTGAAAAAGAGAGCATTAAAGCCATCAGGTCCTGGGGCCTTATCATTGTTTAGTGAGAACATGCAATGGTAGATGTCCTCATTATAAGGTATAGCTACCAGAGCAGGTATACATTCAAGTTTAACCACATTGGAAATGAATGGTGCAAGTGAAGCAGTATCTAGGTAGCTATGGTGTTGCTGTCCAAGTGTGGTTTGGAAATGTGAGAGGACTTCTTGCTTGATAAAGACTTCAGTGTCAATGACATGACCAGTGGCATCCAACAGATTGGTAAATTTATTTCTATTGAATCTTGATGACATGGTCTTGAAAAAATAAGCAGTGTTGGAATCCCCCTCCTTGAGCCATTGAACCCTAGATTTTTGCCTGTAAGTGAGTTCTTCTGCTTCTTTGAGTTTCTTATATGATGCAAGGATCTCTCTCTCTTGTGCTCGAAGGACAGGATCATTTGGCACATTATCCAGAGCAGTTTGGCAAAGGGATAGCTTTTCCTTGGTCAGTTGGACTTTCATGGTAATCTTACTGAATTCTTTGGCAAGTTGTTGCTTGAGAGGACCTTCAAGACATTTAAGCTTAGAAGTGACTTGGAACATAGTGAAACCTCTGACAGGGTTATCCCAAATTGACTTGACAATAGGAATAAAGCTATCATGTGAGCTCCAACAATTGAAAAACCTAAAGGGAACCTTCCTTCTTGGATTGGGTGTGCCAAGGGTGATGATCATAGGGTTGTGGTCAGAAATTCCAAAGGGCAAAAAATTGTAGTGTGAAAGGGGAAATGATGCATTCCAGGAGCCATTGATGAGCACTCTATCAAGCTTCCTTGATATATTTGCAACATCCAAGCTTTTGTTGGACCAAATGAAGAAAATGCCTGTAAACCTCAGGTCCTCAAGATTGGCCTCACGAAGGCACTCACAGAATTCAACCATGGCTTGAGTGGTTCTGCTAGAGCCACCAAAATTCTCATGTGGAGACTTAATGATGTTGAAATCACCTGCTAAAATCCATGGGGAAGAGCTGAGATTCGTGGAGAGTCTTGTGATATCACTCCACAGGGTTCTTCTTTCATCTGCAGCATTGGCTCCATAAACAAAGGATATGAGGAAAGATGTTCTACACCTCAGTAATGTAGCAGAACAATGGATCATTTGCCTGGTTTCTTGCAAAACTTTGAGATCAATGGAATTGTGATTCCATAGAATCCAAATTTTGCCAAGAGGGGAGTGCTGATAGTTGTGGTGTAGGCTCCAAGATTTTGCCAAGGATCTGTGTACTGAATCAATATTGACCTGGTTAATTTTGGTCTCAATGATTGACATAACATCAACCTTATGTTCCCTTATGAGGTCACGAACCTCATCCTGCTTGTCAAGGCCATTTAGGCCTCTAATATTCCATATGGCTAGGACCATTTAACACTGTTAAAGAACTTTCCACATGGGAGAATGATCCCTCTGTTTGGTGCTGATTGGTTCAGGGATTTCTTCTTCTTTTTTTTCGGTTTTTGTGGTTTATGTGAACTTGATACTTGTCTACACACAAATAGATAAAATTAACCACCTAATTCTCCCTTAACTATTCGCTCAAAATTTTGTTTTACCAGTCTTTGACACTGCTACTTGCTTCATGATATATATATTTTACAGCCAATTCAGCTATACTTACAGTACATATTGTAAGTTATTTATTAGCACTTGAGGATTAGCTGTTTCAGTTTCTTTAATTTAATTTAATAATCTTTAGTATTGTAGTTTAATAGAACTCACTTATCAAAAAGAGGAAAATAAAGAAAAAAATATATATTTTTTTCTTTTTTATTTAAAAAAAAAAAAAAAAAAAAAACACGATCACCTAACATGTTTGGTTTTAAGTATCTCTTCAACTAAAAAGTCCAGAAGTAAAGTTTTATAATTAGGACAAAATTATTGTGCGCTTTGTTTACTTCCTATATAAAGTAAAAGAAGAAGAAAAAAAAAAATGAAAAAAAAAAAAAGAGATGGATTGGTCCAACTGTCCAATACCGAGTATAATGAAGAAAAAACAAAGGTTCTGATTGGACTTTGACGTAGAAGGGAAAAAATAAGTTAACAAGGAGGATATATCCTCACAACTTATCACAACTCACCGGTGGAATTAATCCAGCTCAAGACACACACAGAGCACTACATCGGATGTGATCGGACAAGTCTCAGCATGATTACATCTTACAAGTTTAAGGCTCAACCTGATTACATCTTAACCCGGGTGGATAGTGAGTACCCGAATGAAAATTGTTTACATAGACCTGATGCTTAATGAGACATCAAGACCCGAGTTGTCATTTGTTACTCTAACCTCGTGAAGTTTAAAACTTTATTGATAACAAATACATATACCACTCACATATTCATTTGGAAACTTGAACCCTCACCATTTTTCATGACTTTGTTACACGTGCTAATTTGTAACCTTTATATTTTGGCAAATATTGTAATCTAAATTCTTCTCACTTTATATTTGAGGTATGTCACCATATGTTGTCTATACAGGTTGCAAACCTTATGACAGTGGATATCTCATTTTTTAAAATCAAAATTGACTCAGTTGATTATCATTTTTTTATAATCAAAATAGACCAGAATATAATATTAGCATTTAAAATTTTAAAAAAGGTTTTGACACTTCAATTCTTTTAATATTTAAATTCAAGAGTCATGACTCTGAGGCCTATTTTGGACTTTCAATATCGAATACTTTTTGACACCTATAAATGCTAATAATTGACCATGTAAGATTTATTTCATAAAATGCCCTTTTAATAATAAATTATTTTGGATAGTATAGGGTGTTTTTTTGCTCGTTTTGAATTATAGGGGGGTTTTTTTGCTCATTAGGATATAGTTGAGGGGGGTTTAATGCACTTTACTCTATTTATTTTAAGAAACATTATCGTTTTAAAGGTACTTGCAACTTTTAACCGGGATAACCTTATTTATTTATTTATTTATTTGATCCGATAAACGTAATTGAATTGTTACTTGATAAACATAAACTTAGGTCACTTGTTTCTTTTTATCGAATAGAATTCAATAAATCATAGTTTTTAGAGTAGGAGCTATTCTCTAGAGATGGATGATCCTTTCATCGTGAATAAAGTTTTGCTGCTCGTGCGTTTTAGTGAGGTGACTTTTCTTTACTTCCTTCTCAATTACTATGCAGCTGGGAGTCCTGAGACGTATACTTAATGCGAAAAAAAAAAATCTTTGTTTGTTGTGTTGTTTTATTGACAGATGAGCCGGGAAGAAATAATGAAGCAAATTATAAATTGGTTATCAAAAATATTTTACTATTGCAGAAAAAAAATATATCAGTAAGTATTTCGTATTTGGTTTTCATTAATTCTCTCTATTTTGAATCGGATTTTATCATGTTTCAACAGTCTATAACATTCTTAGAATTTTTGTAATTTTTTTTTTTTGGTTACAAAAAAGTATTTTCTTACAAAAATTTCCAATTAATTTAAATAATCAAATTGTGCCTATTTATTTTACAATATATGTGACATCCACGAACAACATCTGAATTTAAGCACATCTATTTTTCGGCACCTGTTATTATTGTTATTTTTAGGATCATTATGTTTTATTAGTTTTTTCCATGTTTTAAAAGACGGCTGGATATGTTCTTAGGCTAACACTCCATGCATATATTTCCGAATGAAACACCTCTCAACTTATTAAAAATTTGAGTATTAATGCAATTTTAAAAAAGTAGCTAACCAATCATCTTTTCCTTCCCTACCTAATAAAAATATATATATGTATAAATTTTGTCAGTTTATATATTTAACAATGAAATGATTAATAATTGCAATATTATATTAAAATTATTTAGAAAAATCATTTGATGTTGGTTTGCTAGTAAATTAATTTTTTTTTTATAGTTTAGGGGTTTTTTCAAACTTTGGCTTATTTTTTTTAATGAAGTTAATCTTACTTTTGAATGCAAAAAATGCTGGTAATCTGTGGACTCTATTGGATTTTGCCTCTATTGGATGTGGGACCTTAACTTTGCAATGATAGAGAAGATAACAAATCTTATAGAATACTATGAAATGATGGGATATTATGCTATCTTCGATATGGTGTTACTCTATTCTACAGTGACTATATTTATACACATTTTTATTTTATTTTTCTCACATTTTGCTCACCAATATAAACTAAAATTCAAGCATGATCACCAAATTGGATGTTTGGCAAAGTCTGTGAGTTCTGTGATCACCTCATGTGTAGTTTTTCTTTTGCGACACTTATGGTATGATATTCACTACTCTCTTACATAGATATCACTTACTACCGAATATTACGAATATTATGTGTTTAGAGAACTTCTTTATGGACCTTAAGGTGATTTCAGCATATGGAACGCTACATTGGAAGCTTTGATGGGAATTATTGTTATTTGTCAAAAAGGCAATAACATATGTCTTTGTATCACAAATTTGATAATGTGTGTTGCTCTTATATGCTATAGACATTCTACCTATAAGGTTAATCTCATTGTCTCCAAGGAAGAAAATATTAATTTTCCATCAACTGGTCACGCACAAATGACGAAGAATGAGATCAATCAGATCGAGATACTGACTCAGTGATGTTAAAGTTTCGTGTGTTTTAATGCAACTTGTCCTTGTAATTTCTAATTCTCTTATTATTCTTCTTCCTCCCAATGTTTGGCAAATAATTTCTGCTCAATCTGATTTATGTTTCTGGAGCAATAATAATATAAGTAGATGAAATTAAATTCCTAAGAAGGCTTGTTTCCATTGTGGTGACATTCTGACGATTATTTTCTTTCTTAAAATTCCCTACACTTTGCACCATATTTTTGTTCTTAAGATTGTTTTATCAATTCCATTTCCATTTTATTCATAAGAAAGTTTTATGTTTTCCATTTCCATTAATTAGCAATATCGGCTTTATATTACTGGAGAAATTTTCAATTGCTATTTATATGCCACATTGTACACAATACCACATATACATGAAGCAAAATTATACAGCATGAATTACAGTAATAAAAGAATAAATTTACAACCAGTAACTAAAAAATAACAAATAAACAAATTTTTTGAATTCGCAGGCTTTGAATCGGCAGATTCCGAGCATCCTTAACGGCATGGCATGGACGTGCATGTGCATCTCAGAATCATGGCCACAGTTTGAACTTTGGACCAAATGAGAGAAACATTAGGCACCCATCAAGATTCAAGAAATATACACTCTTATATATAAGGTAAAACTCATAATAAAACATCATCATTAAGTGAAGGATAACTCAGTCTATAGCTTCAGTACCAGGTTTTTTGTGATCTTCTGAAACTTGGTTTTCGTTATTATTTCAAAAAGGACACAAGGATGATATACATATAGGATGCTTGAAGCAGCACTGCATGATAGAAATCAGCTCCGATAAATATTTAGCATTATATAAAAAATCCTAGAAAATCTATTATGTTCACATACAAAAATGTGACAAGATCTGATTCATGGATACTTCAGTAGAGAAAAAACTTAGCACGTCTTTTCAGTAAAAAATGCAAATATTTTGAAGGCGTAGATATACGTACCCAAAAGTTGCATCACCTCTCTATCCACCTTACCTGTCATATGCAAGCAGCAGCAAAATATACACATTCCTAACGCCATCACAGAAATTGAGAAGCAATTACAGTTTATCACGTAGGCGAGTTCTACTTCTAACGACGTAAATTATTGACATTGTTTATGATATACATTAGCACAAAATCAAAGAAACCAAGAAAGTATTCTGCCAAAAAAGAGGCATGTCATGACTCATGAAACCATCTCTTGATCTCCAAGTCTCTCTCATAAAACAATATCACAAACTGGAAAGTTCTTTTTGCCTCTTTTAAGCCAAAAAAAAAAGAAGGTAAATTTGCTCTTCAGAAAATAATAATTATAATAATAAACTCCTTTCCAAGGGTTACAGATAACAAATTAATTTTGAGTGACTAACCAAAACCAAAAGAAATAAAATATAAATTTTCAAGTAAAAGAAATTAGAGTTAATTCAAGAGCTTTTCTTATTATGGTGAAGTGTAGATTGAAGTAAAAAGGGTAAAATTAAGAAATAGGAGTAACATGTTCACAACATACACATACTCTTAAATCCAAGCCCATTAAACAACACTTGCTCATTTTTTTTCTCTCATACAGATTTGTCATTAAGCAAACACTGTCTTCTCAACCAACAAAGATTATAAAGAAAAGAAAAAACCAAATGTAAAGGATAAAACTCATATTTGAGTTGGAATATATCAGAAAAGACTCATGTGTGTGTGTGTGTGTGTGTATATATATATATGGTGTTCCATTAATTTTTATGAATAGTCATAGTTATAGATAGAAACCTTTAATTTGCCACTACCAAAAGAGGAATACATATTACAGACTGCAAAAGTCTCTACAAAAAAAACTCATACCATAACCACAAAGCCACAAGCAACATTGTCCCCCCCTCTCTCCAGATGTTTTCCGTTTTTTTTTATTTTTAAACTTTATAGTTTACATCCATTCAATTAGTCTGAGCTACTAGAAAACTAGTGTATAAGACAGATAGAAGATGATGTAGTTCTCTTCTAGTTACTGGTCGTTTCTAACATTGAACAACTTTTTTGTCACTTAGGACCTCTAGTTGCTTTTTTACTTTATATCCATAGTCTGAGATGCAAACCTAAAAACTAGTCTTAGATCCATATGGATAGAAGGTGATGTAGACTGGTAGGTTGTGATATCATATTTCATTACATGACAATTTTAAAATGGGATACGATAAAGGGTAACATTTATCTTCTCACAAGCATACAAAATAAGCGTAGGCAAGTTCATTTCATGTAGCTCTCTCTATCCCACTTCATAAATAATCTAGTTGCTATATGGAAAACATTATCTTCTTCTTTGTGACTACACTTGACCAACCAAGGACCTTAAAAGATTACAGCGGAGTATATACTACTTCAAACATTCCTAGCTGAAATGCAACATAATACTGGAAAAAATAGAAAGAAGATTTCAAAATGCTCAAAAGGAAGTTTCACACACTAAAATATGCCAGTGTAGGTGTGCAACATGACAACACAGATTCAACATATACAGGACAAATGCTGCTAGACAGAAATCAACAACTATAAACATGCTATGCAATTGGCAAGTAGTTCACCTTTACCCAAGCATTCCAAACTGATTCTTCACTAGCAAGTATTGATCCTCTAGTGTAATCCCAAGAAAAACCTGATTTGGAAAGCATGTCACTTGTGATTGTATAATGTTTGTCCCAAGTTCTTAGATGGGATTGAATGTTTTGCTTTGTGACATCAATACCGAGCTGCTCTTTCAAAGCACTAATAGCAGCAGTCAAAGCAGAATTACAACAGACCAACTGAAAAAAACCACACATAAATTGAAAAACAAATTTCCCATCTTCATGATCAAGTAAGTGGAACAACACTCCTAGAATTTGCGGGTGTCTTAACTGCATTGTTAATAAAGCTGCATATCCTTAACATTTTATCAAATCATAACAATTACTGAATCAGTTTCATAACAGGAGCAGTTATTGAATCAATTTTGTAAGAGGAGCGACGATTCCAGGATATTAGTGTTAAGAATAATAACAACCACCAATGTAATTCTGCTGAATGAAAAAAAAAAAAAAAAAAAAAAAAAAAAAAAAAACATATTCAATATCAATAGAATAGGACAATATTGTTACTGAAAAGAAAACAATACTGGGAGTCTGGATTGATTTTTACTGTGGGGTGTGACCCCAGCCACCAACTGTTGAACGTATATAAAAGAAGTCAAAAGAATCAGGACAATCAAATAGAGATGCGCAAATATATGAACTCTTCCAAGTTTGAGCACCTTTTCTGAGAACCACGTATTATATTAAATCAATAAATAGAAAACCTTATAGAGAATCTAACTCGGCATAAAATCAAGTAGATAATATCCCTCGTCTAGTATGAGGAGCCCTTGTCAACAATTCAGTAAAGTAGTAGTTCTTTCATTCAACACATGAGGAAATACTTGGTCTCAAAGAAAAAAGAGGAAGGTTATATGAGGAACATATCATGGAAATCAAGAACTATAAATAAAAAAACAACCCATATAAATAAATACATTATATCATACAGATAAAGTAATTATTTATTGGCAAGGGTTTAAATATATATATATATATATATATATATATATATATTTTGGACAGCAAAGGTTTAATTAAGTATGTTGGAAACCATGAGTAAATGAATGCCAAATGGAATAGAGCATATATGAAACAGATGCATCCAAACCAATTATCAGTCCAAGAAAATAATTATCAATTGATTATCTTATCTAACATTCTGCAAATCCAAGTGTTCAAAATATTAGGATAATGTGGACCATTATCAACAACAGAATTGCAGATATAATTTTAAATAAAAAGTAACATACTTAAATTGAAAAACCAATTTCTCAAAAAAGAACCAGCAATTATGAAAAATAGAGAGGGAGAGTGAAATTTAGCTACATTTCTCAATGGATTTGCTCAGAGGCCACTGGAGGAAAGAACTGTTACACACACTTTGCTCTTCAACAGCACGATCGGTCTGTCGATTTTGAGCTAGGGTTCAAATGTAATGATTGATGAGCTAGGGTTCAAAGGCAGAATGAGATGGAAGAGTTAGGGTTAGGTTTTGAAGGCTTATCGAAAGGATGGATGGAATGATCGACATGGAAGATCGAGTGAGCCATCAAGGGGTTGGCAGTTGAGGATCGACATGGAAGATTGAGTGAGCCATCGAGCGTTGGGACTTGGGAGTCTAGTGAGCGACAGAGAGGTTTTGTATTGGCTACAATTTGGGATTTGAAATCACTGATTAGTTTGTAGGATTCAATTTGTTGAATTGGGAAGTTTGGGATCATAATGTAATCCCAATCCCATGTTAGTTTGTTACATCCAAACTGTGGATTTGGAATTGGAAGCTCCAATAAGGTGCTGCCAAACATACCCTGAGAGTATTTCATAGACAAATAATAATGAAACCAGTCTTTATCATATCTTTCTAATTTGGTTCCTAGTTCTATATCTCCAACTAAGCAAAACAACATGCAGGTAACTTTGTAACTACCACTGGCAAACAATAAGCCAAAGTTAGAGGACTGACACAAACAAGACTGTACACTAAGAAGTAGAAGTAACTGGCAAGTAGCTGCTCAATACTCACTGAATCAAGTCACCTTCTTGAAACAAAAACAAATAAAAAATTTAATGGCGCCAGTTGCAATGGATCAATTAATACTCGCATCCTTCCACTAACAACATAGCAATCATTCTTCAGTTTTCACACAACATTTTGCTTAGTGATAGCTTGATGCTTTCTAATGACACAAAGTGAAAACCCTGAGAGTATTTCGTAGACAAATAACAATGAGACCAATCTTTATCATATCTTTCTAATTTGGTTCTTCTTCCCTTATCTCAAGCTAAGCTAAACAACATGCAGGTGCTGTTGTAAATCAAGTATACTTGAACATAGTTAACATTGTATACAATCGATGGGTTTGCATTATGCAGTCAAACTGGCTCATCTAAAGACCACGCCCAACCAATTTATGACACTGAATTTGATAAAGGAATAAATACCAAAATACAAACAGAATTCCTCAGATTTGAGGTCGATTATCTAACACTTCAATACCCACCCACCATGCTCGTTTATAACATAGCTCATTTTCAAGAATTTGAGATATATTTTTTCTATACTTGTAATTCCTCCTCTCAGTCAAAAGAAATCAAATGGATCTCTTGAATACTTAGCCATTGATACATACAAATTAATTGGGTATCAACACAATCCATGCAACAATATGACAACTCAACTTATACACCAATACATGGAAAAGAGAAGGGATTGTAAACCTCACATTACCAACATATATTGACCGCGAAACCGCCTCATCCTTTTCAGCTTGAATAGCAGAGGCGCTAGGGAAATCTTCTTACATGCACACACGCGCGCAATCTTCTTACATGCACGCACGCGCGCACGAAGAAGAATGTCAGCAATATTAACAGATTTTGCAAAAGCAAGAAAGCAAAGTGACAGGACCCAAAAACAAACGAAATTATGACCATTTCAGAAGCTCAAGTCTCTAATTGTCTACAAATGCTACATAACATCCTACCAATCATCACTTTTCTGGAAAAAATATGTGCATACAGACATACACATGACAAGATTTAAAAGCATGCTTAAAGAACTTTTTAGCAATGCCACTAGTTCAAGTGACATTTCAGGTAAACTACTGACATAACAACCATTAGCAATGTATGAGCCCAATCCAAAATTGGATATCTGGATTTTGAACACTGTGCTGCCCCGCCCACTTTTCCAAGTGTTTCAAAGAAACCTTAAGTGGATTTCCAAGCATTTTAATACAAAGATGTCCAGGTTGGACAAATTGCAAGCATTAATTTTTTTAGCCATGTCCATATGACTTAAGTTGTCACAGTGCAAAAGGAACTTAAGAATACAAACCATTCAAAAGGAATTCCAGATCATCCGTAGATGGTGAAGCTGCATTGGAATTTGATACACTAACTTTATACCAAAAAAAAAAAAAAGAGCCTCCATATATATTTTGATTGCACCACAATTGTGTACCATCAAAATTACAGTACAAAGAGGACGGTATTTACAGCCAAAAGAAGAGAAAACAGAAACATAAATTATTGGAAATTTTCTTATATTGTTTTTATCCAACGATAAAAAGACCATTACGGGTACTGTTTTGTATAAAATTTTGTTATAATTTATAAATAATTATTTGTAGCTTTAGGTGTTGTTTGATACTCAATGAAGTACACAATTCTGAATATATCAAGTGATTATCCAATTAAGTGCATTTGATAACACAATTATATATACTTAATATAATAACTTCCTCTTATATAAGACCTACACTTAAATGGTTTTGAGCCAGACCTCACTTTTCACTAAACACTTCAAATTTAAACAATTAGCAAAAAAAATTCTCAATTTGGAATTAAAACTTAAAAATTCAACATTTAACAAAAAGCTCTAAAAAAATTTAATGATTAATTTTGTGTTTTATCAAACAACACCTTTAAAGATAGAGAATTAGTAAGAGCTGCCTTGGCTAGGCTCAAATGATGGAATCAACCATGATTTTCATATCCTCTTTCTTCTGTAGATTAAAAACGAAAAACCTACCTCTTTTTAATTAAGTTGTTTGTCATTAAAAATAAAATAATAATAAATAAATAAAAATTAAAGAAGGAAAGAAACCTACCAGATTCACCCATATGACTAGAGAAAAATGAAACATTGTCATCAACATGGAGAAAGATAAAACAAATGAGAAAATGCAAAGAGATAAAGGAAGATTTAGCTTAGGTTGAACCACAAAAATGACGTGTGTTGAGCCTTCATAACCCATGGTCCTCCCATCCACTCATTATTCTTGACAATATCTAACCTTCTGGTCGATCTATGGAAGCTCATTAATGGAAGAAAATGAAAGCTTTGGTGACCACCAAGATTAGATTTTGACGCTGATTGATTTATGAGATTGACAAATGAGGAGAATAGAGGCCAAAAGTTCTGAATTGGGAAGGGTAGATAGGGAAAAATTAAAAGACAGAATTCAAGATGAAAACATGTTATGATCCGATTGGCACACATTTAGTTTGTATTCCTTCTCATCTCTTTCCTTATTTGATTCATTCACTACATACATGAGATAGCATCCGTCAGCAATCAACTCACATTCAGATTCTCATTGATAACGAAACTTGGAGTTGTTCAAGCCCAGCTCATGCAAAAAATTAGCCCAAAAGTATTTAGGCTAAAGATCATTTTGTTTATTATTGAACAAAGCCTGAATGAGCGCGCCACTTTGTATAGGAATGTATAGGCATTTTGGTATTCTCCATTATGTGCATGGATTGCACCACTTCTGGTTCATTTTATTAATGATTACCTTACTTTATCAACAAAAGAATCCTAAAGGAATCTCAAACATAGTGACTGTAAAACCTATCTTTTCACAAATTACTGGCATTAGGTATAATTATCACATTTTCATTTCACAGATCTTTTGCTTCATTTGATATAAGATTGAAATCTGAACATAGTTCTTAAGCTTTTATCAAGTGTTATTTCATTTTTCTTCCTTTGCCCTGATTTTTGTGAGGTTTTTAGAATAGCAATATAGCAGTCACGAACATAAAATCCACTTCTCCATCAACCACAATCCCCTACACTCTTGGACCACTTCACTTACATAATTTTTGGATTAATTTCCCTAAAACAATTCAGGCTTCATATCGTATTTCCCTTGTACCTAAAACTCAATACTTCCTTATAAAAAGCTTTGATTTTTAATCGAATCCAAACAAAGTAAAATATTCAAAACTACATACAAGTATATACCTAGATAGAGAGAGTGAGACCTTGCACGGCGCCCATCTCTTCTCGACTTTCGTCTGCACTTCGCGAAGAGCGCAGCGCCTGCTTCTTATTCAATTTCTTCATGTCCTCCAAGTCCTGTGCAAGGCCAAACCAGGAAGGCAAACAACATATATATATATATATATATACACACACACACACACACACACACATACTATACACACAGGTATATATACAGAGAGAAACTAGATAGAGAAAGTTGAAGGAACTTGGAGTTAGGATCGTCCTCAGGGACATAAAATATAGAATTTGATAGAATTAATTAATAAATTAGATTAGTTTTAAGATTATAACTTTACCAAATTACTTTTTTAGTGGAACAGTATTACAATTTTAATTAATAAAAATAAAATGATAATATTATTTTTTATAATTAAATTTCACTTATTTTAAATATATATTGTTTCTTTGAAATTAGAGTATTGAAATTAAAATTGAATTTTATGAAATTAAAATTGAATTTTATGAAATTAAAATCTTAAAATTAAAAATTATAAAATTATAAAAAGAAAATTCGATCTAATGTATAATTGTGTATATATCAATATATGTCAGTGTTGTGGATTTGTTTGTCTGGTTTTATCTCTCTTGAATACAAAAAATTGATCATTGACGAAAGGGAGAAGCTGGACGTGTGTCATTTTACAAAGTAATGGGGGCAATAA